TCAGAAACAAAAGAGAACTAACACCACAAAAATACAAAGGAATAAAAGAAAACATTACAAACAACAATATGCCAACACACTGGACAATTGGGAAAAAATGGATAAATTCCTATGAACATATAATTTTCCAAAACTGAATCAAGAAGAAACAGAAAACCTGAACAACCCAATTAAACTAATAAAACTGAAGTAGTAAACAAAAACTTCCAACAAACAGAAATCCTGAACTGGATGGCTTCACAGGTGAATTTTACTAAACATTCAAAGAACTAACACCTATCTTTCTAAAACTATTCCAAAAACGCAAGAGAAGACTCCCAAGCTTAATTTTATGAGAACAGTATTATCCTTCTTTAGAAAAAGACTCTACAAAGAAAGTAAGTTTTAGGCCAATATCCCTAACAAACATAAATGCAAAAATCCTAAACAAAATATTAGTAAAAAATGAGAATTCAACAATATATTATAAAGATCATACACTATAATCAAGTGGGATTTATTCCTGGGATGCCAGGTTGGTATAATATCCACAAATCAATTAACATAATATGCCATATAAACAAGATAAAGAATAAAATGACATGATTATATCTATAGGTGCAAAAATAAAGCTTTTGACAAAATCCAGCAACCAGAAAAAAGTCTCAGAGAAACAAGAATAGAGGGAACATACCTCAACATAATAAAGGCTACATATAACAAAACCACAGCTAATATCATACTCAATGGGAAAAAAATAAAAGTGTTTCCCTTAAGATCAGGAACAAGATCTGGGATGTCTGCTTTCACCTCTCTTATTCAACATAGTACTAGAAGACCTAGACACAGCTATCAGACCATAAGAAAAAATAAAAGGAATCCAAATAGGAAAGAAAGAAATTAAACTGTCATTATCTCCACAGTGTATATGGAGAATCCCAAAGATTCCACACACAAACAAAACAAAACAAAACAAAAAAAAACCCCCAAAACTACTAGAACTGAAAGATGAATTCAGCAAAGTAGCAGGATACAAAATAAATATTCAGAAATCAGTTGCATTTTAATACACCAATAATGAACTACCAGAAAAGGAAACTAAGAAAACAATCCCATCGCCCTGGCTGGCGTAGCTCAGTGGATTGAGCACGGGCTGGGAACCAAAGTGTCCCAGGTTCGATTCCCAACCAGGGTACATGCCTGCGTTGCAGGCCATAACCCCCAGCAACCGCACATTGATGTTTCTCTCTCTCTGTCTATCTCCCTCCCTTCCCTCTCTAAAAATAAATAAATAAAATCTTTAAAAAAAAAAAGAAAAAGAAAACAATCCCATCAAAAAAATAAAATACCAATGGGAGTAAAAGGGAGAAAACTGTACTTGAACAATGATTAAAATAAAATACCTAGGAATAAATTTCACCAAGGAGGTGAAAAACCTGTCCTTGCAAAACTGCTGGATACTGAAGAAGATACAAATAAATGGAAGCATATACCATGCTCATGGATAGGAAGAATTAACATCACTAAAATGTCCATACTACCCAATGCTATCTATAGATTCAATGCAATTCCTATCAAAACACCAATGGCGTTTTCACAGAAGTAGAACAGATAGTCCAAAAATTTATATGGAGCCACAAAAGACTTAAATGTCCACAGCAATCTTGAGAAAGAAGAACAAAGTTGAAGGTATCATACCACCCTATATCAAACTATAATACAAAACCACAGTAATCAAAAGAGCATGGTACTGTCATAAAAACAGACACATAGATCAATGGAAGAAAATAGAGGCCCAGAAATAAACTCATGCCTATATGGTCAATTTATATTTGACCAAAAAAGGCAAGAACATACAATGGAGTTAAAACAGTCTATTCAATAGTGTTGGAAAAATTGGACAGATACATGCAGAAAATGAAACTAGACCACCTTTTCACACTCAAAACCATAAAAATCCTAGAAGAAAATAACAGTTAGTAAAATATGACATTTCTATTAGCAATATTTTTTTCTGATATATCTCCTCAGGCAAGGGAAACAAAAGAAAAAAATAAACAAGTGGGACTACATTAAACTAAAAATTTTTGTACAGAAAAGGAACCCATCAATATAACAAAAAGACAATCTACAGAATGAGAGAACATATTTGTCAGTGATATATCTAATAAGGGGTTCATACCCAAAATTTATAAAGAACTCGTACAATGCAGCAGCAAAATAACTCAAACAATCTAATTTAAAAAATGGACAGAGGACCTGAATACATTTCTCCAAAGGGGACATACAGATAACAATTAAATATAAGATTCAATATCACTATCAGAGAAATGCAAATTAAAACCACAATGAAGTATCTCTTCATCCCTGTCAGAACAGCTACCATCAATAAAGCTACAAACAGCAAATATTGGTGAGTATATGGAAAAAAGGGAACCCTCATGTACTGCTAGTAGAAATGAAGTTTGGTGCAGCCACTTTGGAAAACAGTATGGAGGATCCTCAAAAATGGAACTGCCTCATGATCTAGTGATTCCACTTCTGGGTATATATCCAAATAAGCCCAAACCACTAATTCAAAAGAATATATGCACCTCTATGTTCACTGTAGCATTATTTACAATAGCCAAGATTTGGGAGTAACTCAAGTGCCCATCAGTGGATGACTGGATAAAAAAGAGGTGGTACAAGTATACAATGGAATATTACTTGGCTAAAGAAAAGAATGATATCTTAACATTTGCAACAGCATGGGTGGACCTATAGTATATTAAGTGAAATAAGTCAGTCACAGAAAGACAAATACCATATCATTTCACTTATATGTAAAACAAACAAACAAAATTGAAACAAACTACAGACTGATGGTTGCCAGAGGGGAGGCGGGTTGGGAACCTGGGTGAAAAAGTTGAAGGGTTTTAAAAATATAAATTGGTAGTTATGAAACCATCATGGGGATTTAAAGTATAGCATAGGGACTGTATTCAATAATGTAATAATTATGTATGGTGCCAGGTAGGTACTGGAAATATCAGAGGGCACACTCTGTAAAGTATACGATTATCTAACCACTATACTATACACCTGAAAGTAATACAAAATAATAGCAAATGTAAACTGTAATTGAAAAACAGAATAAAAGTCAGACAATAACAAGTGTTGTTGGGAATGTGGAAAAATTGGAACCTTCACACACTGTATGATATACACTGGTGGGAATGTAAAATGGTGCAACTACTTTGGAGAAGTAGTTTGCAGTTCCCCAAAAAGTTAAACATAGAGTTAACATATACCCAGTAGTTCTTCCTTAAGGTATATACCCAAGAAGAGCAAAAATACACATTCATACTAATATACAAACATTAACAGAAGAATTATTTATATTAGCTGAGAAGTAGAACAATCCAATGTCCATCAACTGATGAATAGATTAAGAAATATGGTAGTTCACAATAGGACAGAATATTATTCGGCCTTAAAAGTGAGTGAAGCACTAATAAATACTACACTGATGAACCTTAAACACATTTTGCTAAGTGAAAGATGCAAGATGCAAGAGACCACACCATGGATGATTCCATTGAAAAGTACAGAATAGGTAAATCCATAAAGACAAGAAAAGCACTGGCTGGTGTGGCTCAGTGGATTGAGCACCAGCCTGTGAGCCAAAGAGTTGTTGGCTCAATTCCGTCAGGGCCCATGCCTGGGTTGTGGACCAGGTCCCCAGTAGGGGGTGCGTGCAAGGCAACCACACATTGATGTTTCTCTCCCTCCCTTCCCCTCTATCTAAAAATAAATAAATACCCCTGGCTGGTGTAGCTCAGTGGATTGAGCGCAGGCTGGGAACCAAAGTGTCCCAGGTTCGATTCCCAGCCAGGGTACATTCCTGGGTTGCAGGCCATAACCCCCAGCAACCACACATTGATGTTTCTCTCTATCTCCCTCCCTTCCCTCTCTAAAAATAAATTTAAAAAATAAAATATTTTAGCCCTGGCTGGCATAGCTCAGTGGATTGAGTGCGGGCTGGGAACCAAAGTGTCCCAGGTTCGATTCCCAGCCAGGGTACATTCCTGGGTTGCAGGCCATAACCCCCAGCAACTGCACATTGATGTTTCTCTTTCTCTCTCTCTCTCTTCTCTCTCTAAAAATAAATAAATAAAATCTTTAAAAAATATATTTTAAAAATAAATAAATAAATAAATAAAATCTTTTTTAAAAATAAAAACAAGAAAGCACACTAGTGAGTGATTACTGAGGGCTGGCAAGGAGGTGGAATGACTGTTAATGGGTAGAAGTTTCTTTGTGGGGTGATGAAAATGTTCTAACAATGAACTGTGATAATGGTTGCATAACCTTGGGAATCTCCTTAAAAATACTGAATTACACACTTTAAGTAGGTAAATTGTATGGCATGTGGATTGCATTTAAATAAAAACATTCCTTTTAAAAGCTAAGGAACAAAGAATTAGACTCTCACAGCCAAGATTCTGAAGGAAACAAGAGATTCTAGAAGAGGTTAGTAGCCTAAACAGAGACAGTGAACAAAAGGAAAATTCATAAGAAATTATAGATAAATTACTTGAAAGGCTTTCCTTTATACATTAAAAAATCAGGATGATAGCTACATAAAGTCTCTAGGAAAGCCCCAGGAGCAAGTCTCCTAAGTTCCTTCATGTACTCCTGTCCTGTCAGGAATGTGCCTCCATTTGAAACGGCCCTGTGTTACTCAGCACCAAACACCATGAAGGATTCTGCAGTTTTACTTTCTAGACTTTTGTATTAGAAACAACAAGTATCTTTACAAACAGCTTTAATGACGTATAATTAACAATAAGCTGCATTTAAAGTGTAAAATTTCGTATTTTCACACATGTATATACTCATTAAACATGAAGATGAGCATGTGTATCATCCCCAAAAGTTTCTTCATGCCCCCTCCCCTGTACTGGCAACCACCAACATGTCACTATAGTTTGCCTTTACTAAAGATTTATATATACGAGGAGTCATAAAGTACATACCCTTTGTCTGACTTCTTTCAGTCAGCATGATTATTCTGAGATTCATGTATTGTGTATATCAAGACTTAATTCCTTTGTATTGCTTTGCTGATCAGTATTCCATTATATGGATGTATCACAGTTTGTCCCTTACCTGTGGAAAAATGTGCACTTAAATTTCTAAGGAATAACTAAACTCTTAAAATGTGATGTACCATTTTACATTCCCATTTGCAGTGTATAAGTTATAGTTGCTCCACATCCTCACCAAGACTCTGTATGGCCAGACTCTTAGATTTTAGCCAACCTAAGAAATAGATATGCAGCCATGTTTCTTTATGGTTTTAATTTGCATTTCTGTAACAAATAATGATGTTGATAATCTTTTCATGTACTTATTTCCTGCCTATTTGTCTTCTTTGGTGCAGTTTCTGATCAAATCTTTAGTCATTTTTTATTAGGTTGTTTGCTTGCTTTTTTTAAATAGTTTTGAGAATTCTTAATATACCTGGATATGTCATTTTTCAGATTCATGCTTTACAAAAATTTTCTCCAGTCTGTGGCTTAGTTTTTCCTTCTTTTAACAGTATGTTTTGAACAGAAAACACTTTTATTTTTCAATTACACTTTACACTCAGTATTATTTTGCATTAGTTTCAGGTGTACAGCATAGTGGTTAGACAATCATATTTTACAAAGTGTTTTCCCTGATATTTCCAGTATTTGACTGACACCATACGTAGTTATTACATTATTATTGACTATATTATCTATGCTGTACATTTTTAATTTTAAGTCCAATTTATCAATTTTTTCTTTACCATGGTTCTATAGTTGTATCTAAGAAGTCATTGCCTATGCAATGTTAGAGATTTCTATCCTGTTTTCTTCTAGAAATTTAGTTTTCTCCTATGCTTTCTTCTAGAAATTTACAGAATGTATACCTTCATTTAGGTCCATACTTCATTTTTAATTTGCATGTATATGTGCTACAAAGTATGTACTGAAGTTCACTTTTTTACCTATGGATACTCAATTATTCCAGCACCATTTGTTGAAACAACTGTTTTTTCTCCACTGAATTTTACCTTTATAAAAAAATCAGCTGTCTATATGTTTGTGGGTCTGTTTCTGGACTCTCTATTCTGTTTTAATAATCATTTTCTCTACATGATGCCAATACTCAGTGTTTTGATTATTACAGTTTCATGCTGAATCTCTAAATCAATTAGTGATAGCACTCCAAATTTCTCCTTCATCTTCAGAATTGCTTTAGCTATTCTAGGTCATTTCAGTTTTGATTGGGATTACACAGCAATCTGTCTGGAAAGAATTGGCATCTTAACATTAAGAATTCCCATCCATGAATGATGGATATCTCTTGGTTTACTTAGGTCTTAACTTTTTCAGTAATATTTTACAGATTTTAGTATATAAATCTTGCACATCATTTATGAAAAACTGGTACCTAAGTGTTTTATATTTCTTACACTATTATAAATAAAATTACATTTTTAATTTAAATTTCTAACTGAATGTTACTAATATATAAAGGTACACTGATTTTTTTGTATGGATCCTTATCCATGAGCTTTACTAAACTAACTCACTTATGAATTCTAGGACATTTTTGGACATTCCATCTGATCTTCTATATAGGTACTATATATCTATCTACACATAGGTATAGATATATAGATACATCTATATATTTATCTCTATAAAAGCTGTACTTCTTTCTTCTAACATATAGTTTATTGATTTATCATTGTTGTTGGGTTTTTTGCCTTATTGCACTGAATATAATCTCTGGTATAACTTTAAATAAAGAATGGACATAATTTCTCTGTTCCTAATCTAAGGAGAAAGTATTCAGTCTTTCACTATTAAGTTGAATGTTAAATATAGGTATTTTGTAGAAGCTATTTTGTAGAAGCCCCTTGTGTCAGAGGTCTCCAAGATCACCCTCAGGCTCACAGGAGAAGGACTCACAGGACTCAGATGTGGTTCTACTCATGGTAATAGTTTATTACAGTAAAAGTATACAGAGGGGTGTCCCCTCCCAAGACAGTCATGCAGGGCATGCTTAATTCTTACAACTTGTATGACTAGTGCAAAGTGCTGCCAACCAGGGATGCTCACCTGAGCCTAGATGTCCAGAGTTTTGATTGGGAGTTAAGTCACGTGAATATATAGCACCTGTGTGGCTGACCTTTATTGCTGAAGTTCCAGACTTCCAGAGGAAAAACAGGTATTCACTATAAATCACACTGTTAGTATAAACTTTTTGGCAAACTGGCAGCACATGGCTCCAGGTCTCAAACATGCAAATACACTCATTAGACAAAATATCACAAGAGCTGTTCCCTGCAGCTAAGCAAAGAACAGTCACAGAAACAGGCATTTCTTGAGAATATGCAGGGTTTGAGCAACACAGGCCTGCTAAGTTAACTATTTCCCACACTTAATCAGGTTAAGCAAGCCCTGGCTGGTGTAGCTCAGTGGATTGAGCGCGGGCTGCGAACGGAAGTGTCGCAGGTTCGACTCCCAGTCAGGGCACATGTCTGGGTTGCAGGCCATGGCCCCCAGCAACCGCACATTGATGTTTCTCTTTCTCCCTCCTTTCCCTCTCTAAAAATAAATGAATAAAATCTTTAAAAAAAAATCAGGTTAAGCAAGTTCTCCTCTTGGGTTTTTGAGTTTTTCCTGGATTTGTCAAATGTTTTTTTTCTGCATGCATTGAAATTATGGGGTGTTTTTTCTTTTGGTTGTTTGTTTATATGGTGAATTACATTGATTGCTGTGCAAATATTAAACCAACCTTGCATTCCGGGGATAAACATCATTTGATAATGAGGCATTAACCTTCTTATATGCCTATATTGTTATACTTAGTGTGCTAAAATTTTGTTCAGATTTTTTGCATCTATGTGCACTAGGAATATTGGTCTGTAGTTTTCATATAATATATTTTTCTCTTTTTTTGTATCAGGGTAATGACAGCTTTTTAAGAGTTGTAAAATATTACCTTCTCTTTAATTTTCTAAAAGTTTGTGTAGAATTGGTTTTATTTTTGCCTTAAATGTTTGTTAGAATTCACCAGTAAAACCATCTGTGCCTGCAGTTTTCTTTGTGAGCAGGCTCTTCCTACAAGTTCAAATTCTTTAACTGATATTGGGATACTGTGTTACTTGCTTCTTCTTGAGGTAGCTTTGGTAGTTTGTGTCTTAGAAACAATATGTCCATTTCATTTGTCATATTGATTGACATTAAACTGTTTATAACATTCCCTTATTATCCTTTAATGTTTTTAGAACATGCAGTGATGTTACCTCTCTTTCTTAATATTGGTAATTTGTATTCTTTTCTCCTGATCTGTCTGGCTTATAAATAGTATTGATATTCCCCTCAAAAAAATGCTTTTGGTTTCATTCATTTTCTTTGCTATTATTCACTTCAATAATTTACAGTCTAAACTTTATTCCCTTGCTCCTGCTTGAGTTTAATTTGCACTTCTTTTTTAGTTTCTTAAGGAAGAAGCTGTGATCATTGATTTGTGACATTTCTTCTTTTCCAATATAGGCATTAATTTAACTATAAAATTCCTTTTAAGTACTGTTTTAGAGCATAACACAAATTTCACATGCTGTTTCATATTTTTTATTTTCCCTTTTTTATTTCTTTGACCAATGGGTCATTTTAAAGTGTTACTTATTTACCAAATCTTGGAGACTTTACAGATCTTTCTTCTGTTAAGTTCTAATTTAATACCATTTTTATCAGCTAGCACACTTTATGACTTGGTTTCTTTTAAACTTACTGATGCTTGTTTTATGGCCCAAAATATGGTCTACCTTGTTAAACATTCTGTGTGCTTCAATAAAAAGGTGTATTTAGCTGTTGTTTGGTGTATCAGTCTACAAATGTTAATTCAGTCAAGTTGGTTAATAGTGTTGCTATTAGTGTTAACAATCTGCTATAACCTTACCCATTTCTATCTACTTATTCTATTAATTGACAATTAAAATCTTCTACTATACTGGAATTTCTCTACTGCTCCTTTAGTTCTATTAGTTTTACTTCATGAATTTGGAGGTTCTATTATTAGGTGTGTAAATGCTTAGGACTGTTACTAATTAACTGATCTCTTTATCATTAGGAAATGGTGTTCATTATCCCTGATAATATCATGTCTGAAATCTACTGTGACACTAATATATCACTGAAGTAGTCTCTTGAATAGTGTTTGCACTGTATATCTCCTTCCGTTTTTTTATCCCATATTATCTTTCTATTCAAAGTGTGCTTCTTGGAAACAACTTACAGTTGGGTGTTGCTTTTTAATCCAATCTGACAATCTGCCTTCTAATTGGAGTGTTTAGAGCATTTATTATGCTATAATTACTGATATGGTTAGGTTTATCATCTTGCTATTTGCCTGTTGTAAGAAGATAAATGGTTCAATTTTTTTTAAAAAGTGCAAGAGATTTCAGTACACTTCATCAAAGAAAATAGGTTTACAGTTGTGAGCATGTGAAACACATCTTATTCTTGTTTATCCTTATTTACCACTTATTAATTATTATATTATCATTTATTAATTATTATATTATTTTCCATATGAGCAACTATAAACCTATTCTTACCCCACCCTGTATGTAATATTATGTAATGAGGCAGAAGTACTCAATGTTTTGTTCTGCTTATCAATGAGAACTCTAGGTAGTTTTTACTGTAGGGAATGAGTTTTCATTTAGACAATATTTTTGTGAGCTGTGACACAGGCCAAAAAAGGTGCAACACATTCAAAACTAAGTGAGTACAAGCTATACAAATAGCAAGAAAGGCTGTTGCTATATTACTAAAAGATGTTATAAACATAATGGTTAGAAGTACACAAACTGCTCCTAATGGTAACTGAGTGTTAAAGAAAATAATGAAAATTGGATATTAGGAAATCTTTTTTTAGAGATTTTATTTATTTATTTTTAGAGAAAGGGGAAGGGAGGAAGAAAGAAGGGGAGAACATCAATGTGGTTGCCTACTGGGGACCTGGCCAGAAATCCAGGCATGTGCCCCAACTGGGAATCAAACTGGTAACTCTTTGGTTCCCAGGCCCACTGTGAATCCACTGAACTATAACAGTCAGGGCAG